GAGGGGGTAGGGGTACATTCAGTGCTCTTGCCTGGGGGGTGCCCGCGGTGGGGGCGGGGACGGCGCGAGGGCAGGCTGGCGCTCGAGCGCGCGCTAGGGCAGGCTGGCGTTGGAGCTGCTGGCCGTGCTGTTGCGTTTCTGGAGGCATTTCACCGCGCTGGGCACCTGCAGGCCCGAGGAGACGTGGAAGCTGCCGCACCAGACCTGCGGGCACAGGAGCACGGCTGGGCTGGCGGGGAGGGCTGGCACGGGGATGGGGGGGCTGAACCCCACCGCCAGCAGCCCCAGAGGAGCTGCCCAGCCCTGCCTGCCCCTTACCGTGAAGGCAGGCAGCACCGGCTGTGTGAACTTGGCCTTGAAGGTGTGGAGCAACTGCTTGGTCCTGGCGTTGTAGAAGGACAGGAACCCTGTGGGCACATGGTGGGGGCCCCGAGGGGGTCACAGGTGGGCACAGAGCTTGCAGACCCCCAGCACAGTGCCTGTGGTGGTGGCAGTGCCCATACTGGACATGCTGGTGCCCATGGCAGTGGCAATGCCCATGGTGGACATGCTGGTGCCCATGGTGGTGTCAATGCCCATGCTGGTGGCGATGCCCATGGTGGTGGCAGTCCCTGCGCCCACACCCAGCACGGCCCCATCCCACACCCACCTTCATGGAAGTTGCAGTAGACGCCGATGCAGTCGGGCACGGGCACGTCCAGCACCTTGGCCTTGTTGGCGTGCTTGGCGCTGAAGCTGACCTGCAGCCAGTTGTTGAGGTGGAGGCACCAGGAGGCCGAGGTCTTGCCCAGCTGATCGAACTTGCCCAGGCTGCGATATGCCACCCCCACGCCGAAAGCTTTGCTGTCCCGGTCGTACCGCACCTCCCAGTAGTGGTCGTCCCCATCGATCAGCGTGTCACCTGGGGGCACGGGGCATGGCTCTGCCTGGTGCACCCACGGGGTGCCCCGTCCTGTCCCCAGCCCTGCCAGGTCCCTCTGGGTGCCCCATGCCCATCTACATCACACCATGCCTCCCCTCCGTGCCCCCATCCCCTCCCACACCCCTGGGTGCCTGCAGGGTCCCCACCAGCACCCACTGGGTGCCCCCAGCTCTCACCTAGAACCGTGTAGGACTCGGCAGTGAAGCGATCTCTGCCCCCACGCCCCGAGGGCATCCTCTTGGGCGACTGCACCACCCTAGGACAGATGGACACCAGCAAGGAGGGCTGGGTTGGCATTAGCCGGGGCGGGGGCAATGCTAGGGTGACAAGGGGAGGTGACATTACCTGGCAGGAGAGTTGGCAGGTGAGGCCGTCCTGCCCTTGCCGTCCTTCTCGCGCGCCTTGACGTCCTGCACCTTGCCACCCGTGGCGTCCCACTCCACGCTGAGCTCTTCTACCCGCAGGTTCTGGTGGCACGTGCTGGCGTCCAGCCGAAACATGAACGCTGGGGACAGCCACTGTCAGCGCGTCCCCCCTCCCTCGCCTGGTGCCAAGGGGTTGTGGACCCCTGGCACGCTTGGGAAGGGGCAGCACGGGGTGGCACGGGGGGTGACGGGTGCCCTGCCACCCCCCCCGGTACCCACCTCTTGTTTCCAAAGTGACTGGCTCAGAGAACTCGCCCGCCACAGCCTTGTTACATGCCCGTACCCGAAAATTCATGTACTTCATGTCAAACTTCAGCCCTGCAGGTACAGCAGGGTCACAAAGCGGGGCACAGGGCGGGCACCGCGGCACCCATGTCCCCTACAAAGCCTGGCACTGCCACCCAGCCCCCTGGGACAGCCCCAGACTCCTGCCACCCAGGTGCCCGCTCCCAGCCTGGCACGTTTGGGGCTGGTTTCGTGCCCATGCCCTCACCAGAGAGGGTGTACTCGGTGCCCTTGATGCCCTCGACCACCATCCAGGGCTGGTCCTCCTTGGCGCGGGGCGGCCCCTCGAAGTTGGTCTTGCGGTACTCCAGCACGTAGTGGTCAATCTTGCTGTCCTCGTCGGGCATCCTCCAGGCCAGCGTCACACAGTTATCAGCCACCAGCGACTCCGCCAGGTCGATCTCGGGGGTGCTGGGCACTGCCCGCGGAAGCAGCCATGCCAGTGTCCCCCCACCGCTGCAGCCCCGTTGCCAGCCGGGGTGTCCCCAGCATCCCCAGGCAGCCCTGGGGCACCCATAGGTCCCATGGGCTCAGCACCTCAGAGACCCCAGGCATGGCGCCCGTAGGACCCGTGGGCACAGCACCCTAGGGACCCCACGTGTGGCATCCCAGAGACCCCGGGCATGGCACCTGCTGCGCCCCCAGGCACAGCATCCAACCCCCCTCATCCCGCCGCCCCTGGCACCTTCTTGCCCCTCTGGCTGGGGTACCGCAGGGTGCCCCAGGCCTGGCACCCCCCACCTCCTCACCCCATCCCCTGGCACCCAGCGGACCCCTTAAACCCTGGACCCCCACCCTTGCGCTGTCCCCTTGCCAGGCTGGCACAGCCCTCCATGCCCCCGCCACTGCCCTTCCCTCGCACTGGGAGAAACCCACCCGCTGTGCCCTGTCCCCCTCGTGTCCCTGTGTCCCCGTCACCCGCTGCCTGTGGGCGGTACCTGGCAGGAAGGCGAGGGCCTGGAGCAGGCGGCGTTCCTGGGCAAAATCCACCATCAGGTGGCTCATGTTGTCGCTCACCTTGGCCTTGAGCGAGAGGCGGAAGGCGGGTGCCATCGTCACGCTGCATGGGGGACACGGGGACGAGGGTCAGCGGGGCCAGGAGTCAGACACCCACCCAGCCCTGACTGCCCCCCCCCCCCCCCCCCGGGGCCCTGGGGGGGGGGGGGGGGGGGCGGGGGCG